AAGTAATCAAAGTTAATATCACCAATAATGCAAAAAAGAGATATAATATCTCTTGATATGATGCATGCACTAAGAAAAACACATCACTTCTATGGCTTTTCTGCCAAAAACGCATAACCCAAATCTAATCATGAGTTAAAAGACAAATCTAATTGAAGGATATTACAAAAAAAAAAAAGAAAAAATAGCCAGTACTCTTCAAAAATGTTAAGGTCATAAATGTTAAAAATTTGGAAAATATTTCAGATGAAAGAAACTAAACAGGTATGACAAGTATTTGTACTGTATATTCCTAAATTGCATCCTGGTTCCAGAATTTTTTTTTTCTTTGCTATAAACAACAGTAGTAGGACAACTGGAAAAACTTGAGTACTCTCTTAATTGGGGTAATTATTCTTGTGACTATGTAAGAGAATGTCCTCGTTTTTAGGCAATTCTTACTTAAGTGTTTAGGGGAAAAGCAGCCTTATGTCTATGACTTCAATAGTTCAGAAAAAAGATGCGAGATGAACAGAGCTAAAGCAAATGTGCTGAAAGGACATGTGGGCAATATGGGTGAAGGGCATATGAAACTTTTCCATAAATCTAATCTCTTCAAAATAAAAAGTTGTTTTAAAAAAAGTGTATGTGCCAATTCAAAGTCCTGTCACAAATGTAGAAAGGAACTAAAGCATGAACGAGTATATTTCCATCACACACTGACAACCCATCATATTATTTAAGTGCATGAAATTACCTTTACATTGAAATGTGATACCATTTTCAAGTGGAAATAACAGCTTTAATATTACAAAAATTACACATAAGCTACCATCATCATACATAAATTATTATAACAATGTTCCCCTGCCACGTGTTTGTCTTCCCTTGCAGGCCATAAGCCCAGAGCACCAAATCTAATCATCTGCGAATCCCTAACATCTACACACTCAACACATGTCTACAGAGATGAACTGAAACAAATTATATCGATAATCCCTCTCTGATCAATAGATTCCCTTGTTATTATCAACTCTAAAATTGGTTGTTAAAGTTGCAACGATACGGATTTGTGACATTGGTCCTCAAATTAAACCCAGCAACAGAACTATCCACATGAAGGAGTACTAACTCTTAGGCTGACTAGGGGAAAATGATTTACACAACACTGGATGGTTGAGAGCCACAATACAGTTTTTGATCACTTGGACACTAATTCTCTTTTCTCTCCTTGAGAAAGGGATGTAGCTTTTCTTTTTTTTTTTTTTTTTTTTTGAGACAGCGTCTCACTGTGTTGCCCAGGCTAGAGCTAGGCGTCATCCTAGCTCACAGCAACCTCAAACTCCTGGGCTCAAGCGATCCTCCTGCCTCAGCCTCCTGAGCCTCCTGAGTAGCTGAGACTACAGGCATGCGCCACCATGCCTGGCTAATTATTTTCTATATAGTTTTAGTTGTCCGATTAATTTCTTTCTAATTTTAGTAGAGACGGGGTCTCGCTCTTGCTCAGGCTGGT